CTCTCTCTCTCTCTCTCTCTCTCTCTCTCTCTCTCTCTCTCTCTCACACACACACACACACACACACACACACACACACACACACACACACTACAGTGCTATGTTCATCATCACTGGAAATGAACTCTTTGTAATTCTTAAGTGTTTTAGATGTATATCTGTCACATACCATATCATAATGTCTGGCAATCAATAATAGGTATTAACCATGTACCATACAAGATGTGTATTTTCTGTGATGAAGAAGTCAGTTTACTACTTACTGAATTTTTAAATTCCTCCTGGTCTATCTTATAGGCAAGCTTTCACATACTGACAATTTCATGTAATACCAGCATCTATATAATCAAAAGTATAATGCCAAGAACCAGTTAGATTGAGCTTAGCTTAAACTCAAAATAATCTCCTTTTCCAAAAGCTAGACGTTCAGAGTTATAGACTAGACAAAGTTTTTAACTTCTCAATCACTGCACTCAATTCTCCTGAGTTTGTTTTGGGTTTAGACCTTTTGTCATCTGCTCCACAATCCACCTGTGTGAAAAACAGACAAAGAAGCCCAAGTCAATGAAATACAGAGTTACATTTCTTTTTTTCCTTTTTATGACACACAAGAATCTGAGAGCTAAAGAGTCCAGATAATTATTCAGATATTGTACATTATTTTTAAATGTAGTATCTTTTTTTCTGAGTGAATGGCATAGACACCAGAGTAGTGAATCAAAAATTTGGAAAGAGGTAGGGTATGGTGATATAGACCTGTAATCCTGAAACTTGGGAGGCAGAGGCAGAAGGAACACCATAAGTTCAAGGTCACCTTAGTCTATTTTGTGAATTTCAGACTAACTTGAGCTACAAAGTGGGACTAAAAATAATAATAATAAATAATAATGATGATAATAATAATAATAACAACAACAAATAGACAGGCTACAGTAACACACATGCACCCTTTTGGTTTTGTTAAGGGCTAAATCACTGTCAGAAAGTTACAGTAGTTTGTTTTGATTTTTCTGTTACATGGTAGTCTAGCAAAGGACTCAGAGTGATCAGATGGCTGCTTTGTATGTCAACATTCACGATCAAAGGTTAATGATGTAATAAAACTGTCTCCAACATATTGCTTCCATTTTTGTCCAAGATTACAACCTCATTTGTTGGCATTTCAATGCAGGAAAGGGTAGGAAAGACTGTACATAGTTTTTTTCTTTTTTTTTATCTTATTTTGCCGAATGGTTGTGCATATCTTCTATCCTCATGTCCTATTGACCTGAACTTACACACGTGGTCATCGGTGTCAGCAGGAAATTGTGGCGGCTGTGTTGTCATGTGTCTGTTGCTAGAAGGGAAGCGGGAGGTGGGACCAGAAAACCACTGGCCTTCTCTGACAGGGATGATCGACAGTTGCTGAAATAACAAGACATAGGGGAGTGTGGATCTAGGGAAGAGCTGGCCTTCTCTGATGCAGACGGACAGTTGGTGACGTGAGAAGAAGGGTCTAAGCAGATGTGCTAATTGAGAAGAATTTCTAGAGAAAGGGTTTTAAAGAAAGCTTCAAGATTTGAGCTGGTGATGATTTTAGTAAAAAGCATGAAAGCAAAAATTTGGGGAGAAAACCTCAGATTTGGAATTGTCCATGACTGAATTTACAAAGTGAAATGTATGTATGTATGTATGTATGTATGTATGTATGTATGTATGTATGTATCTATCTATCTTTCTTTCTATCTATCTATCTATCTATCTAT